TATGAGTTTGGAAAGATGTGTAACTTAGAGCAAAACGTTTTGACTGTGAGTTTGGAAAGACGTGTAACTTAGAGCGAAAAACATTTTGACCGTGATCTTGGAAAAACGTGTAACTTAGAGCGAAAAACATTTTGACTATGAGTTTGGAAAGATGTGTAACTTAGAGCGAAACGTTTTGACAGTGATCTTGGAAAAATGTGTAGCTTGCAGCAATATAATTTAATTTGTAAATTCTAAAAACATATAACCTAAAGATCTTGAAAATACACACCAATTTTTTCATGGAACTTGTTGTATCTGTCAGTCGCATCAGGTAGGAGGCTGTGACCGAAACGGAAGGCAGACGTTTGGAACGCTGAACGAATACCAGAGTTGACTTGGGGGTTATAACCATCATAATAACCCTGGAATTATACTAGTTTATTTCACTACTTATACTTTCGGCTGGTTTGACAGTAGCAAAAGAACTAAAAAACAAATGTGGGTAATATTTCTTTTACAAAATCATATATATACGAATATCTATAACTGTGAAACATATAAAAGAACTATTTCGGTTTCAAAACTTCGTCAGCGATTACTAAAATTTTTTATTATGTAAGAAATACACTAGTGGATGCAAAAATAAGAATTATATTTTGTACTTTATTAAGTAATCACTACCCTGATGTTTTTTCTCAAAATGGCTGACACGCTAAGAAACTACAAATATATTTCGAATGTTATAAAAACGCGCCACAAGAAGTTTAATGAGGGACATTCAGGTTATGCGGGACGTTAGGGATCCTTTAAACCCCACACTTTCATCCTCGACATTCAGGTTATGCGGGACGTTAGGGATCCTTTAAACCATACACTTTGCATCCTCGACTTTCAGGTTATGCGGAACGTTAGGGATCCTTTAAACCATACATTTGCATCCTCGACATTCAGGTTATGCGGGACGTTAGGGATCCTTTAAACCCCACACTTTGCATCCTCGACATTCAGGTTATGCGGGACGTTAGGGATCCTTTAAACCATACACTTTGCATCCTCAACATTCAGATTATGCGGGACGTTAGGGATTTTTTAAACCATACACTTTGCATCCTCAACATTCAGATTATGCGGGACGTTAGGGATTTTTTAAACCATACATTTTGCATCCTCGACATTCAGGTTATGCGGGACGTTAGGGATCCTTTAAACCCCACAGTGTGCATCTTCGAGTTTACAAAGTCCAGACTGTTTCGCAAGTTAGTGGCTCTTGTGGAAAATTATCTTAAACATCGCTTACTACACGTTCCACGAATATTGGGTTTACGGCCGAACTGATGAAACAATGCATTCTAACCTTTATGCGTAAGAACGTACAAAAAGTATATTTAATTAGCTACACTCGTTACCGGATTAATTTGATCTGACTGGATGTTAATATTAAATGTCTTGGTTTATCAAATATTTAGATATGATTGAGTACGCACGTGGGAAAGGAGTTGTAGACCGTACTTCCTTATCGTTTCGACCCCGAGGATTGTGGGAAGGAACTCGTTAAAGGTGATGTGCTGAAGTTCGGCTACGACGATATGACGAGTCTCTTGGTAGAGGGTCTCGTCGTCCCAGTGAGGGTTAATCTGTCCTAAAGCTTCGGCAACTCTGTTGTGTTCTCTCATCCATATTGTGTGCATCACAGTCAACACAAGCTGCTCGTTCACTCGTTCGTCACCTGAGGGAAGCACAACACTGACGTTAATTGTTGCTAAGAGACTTCCGTAAACGTTGTTATTTTTTTTTATCGATATTATAAATCCAATAAACTTTACTTTCCGTAACAGAATGCAGAAACGACGGGTACGGTACGTAAGTAAAATACTTTAGGGAAAAGATATTTGTTATCACTACACTTGGAATGAAATTGTTGGATTCAAAACAAAGCGAACACCTACCAGCATCGAAACAATACGCGTTTCTTGGCCTAGCGATACAACCTACGTCGGGGTCAACTGTCTTCATTGGTAGGAGATCTTTCAGGCCGAGTTCCCTGTAGAGAGGCGCGGTTTTCAAGAACCCTAAAATGAACGATCTCTTAGAAAATGTTTACATTGGGTATTTTCTAACAAATTGCTCATGCAATATTAATATGTTTATATATAGATATTGATGTAATATAAAGCGGTATATATATTTATTACTATAGTCGTGATACTAAGAAATCACGTAAGATAAAGAAATAAATAAACCACAAAACAAGAAACTAGATAATCAAGTTAGATCTTTCTGTTACACGGTTCGGATAGAGGGGGTATTCATCTCTAAAGAAAACAAGGTTACCTTCCAAAAGTTTCTTGTTTACTGTTTTATGCTGACTGTTTGTAAATAAAATAAAATTCTCAATTACTTCAAGTCAGTTTTTAATTAGATGTTAACATCTGATATATAACTTCATTAAGACATCAAACAAGTGACATAGGGCTCGGTCAAGACAACAAGTTATAGAGACTTAACATTTGACATAGGACTCGGACACGACAACAAGTTATAGAGACTTAAAATTTGGCATAGAGCTCGGACAAGACAACAAGTTATAGAGACTTAAAGTTTTGACATAGGACTCGGACAAGACAACAAGTTATAGAGACTTAAAATTTGACATAGGACTCGGACAGACAACAAGTTATAGAGACTTAAAATTTGGCATAGGGCTCGGACAAGACAACAAGTTATAGAGACTTAAAATTTGGCATAGGGCTCGGACAAGACAACAAGTTATAGAGACTTAAAATTTGACATAGGACTCGGACAAGACAACAAGTTATAGAGACTTAAAATTTGACATAGGACTCGGACAAGACAACAAGTTATAGAGACTTAAAATTTGACATAGGACTTGGATTAGAAATAAGCTCGATATAATCGAGTTTTACGGGTAGGTTGAAGGACTCGAACCTCCACGAAACTGCCGAAGCCTGTGTGCATCTTTCTGTTGGCTGCCGTAAATGAAGTTACCGTCGATGAAAGCTGAGATCTGATTGGTCTGGAACCTTGGACCTAAATTTAAAATAATAAAAATGAAGGAATGTGATTGGTCAATCTTTTCAACGCACCCTACAGTAAAAGTTTTAACACATCCACGTATTTTGTTTGTAAAATATTGAGCTTTATAACTTATATTAGTTACTGCTGTTACACTATATAAGCACCACATTAGTTACCGTTGTTACACTATATAAGCACTACATTAGTTACCGTTGTTACACTATATAAGCACTACATTAGTTACCGTTGTTACACTACATAAGTACTACATTAGTTACTGTTATTACACTATATAAGCACTACATTAGTTACTGTTGTTACACTACATAAACACTATATTAGTTACTGTCATCAATGTAGTGTTTATGTAGTTTACCGTGTAACAACAGTTACTGTTATTCTTGTTACACGGTAAACT